TTGAGGCAAGTAATCTGTACCCTGCAATACAGATAACATGATCATCAGGGCAAGATACTGAGTAATGGAAAAATTAACAGCACTCAGGGATCATTTTTCTGTGGTTTTTTTTTTCTGTAAACTTTTATGGACACACAGATGTGGAAACTAGTTGCTTTCATCAAAAGCTATTCTCTAGTTTTGCACCTCCAGTTGGCCACACCCCAGGTTCTTCTGCTTAGGATGAAAGGATGCATTAATGCACATCTTCCTTCTCTGCTTTGCTTCCAGCCCTTGTATGTGTTCACAAAACTGATACTCCCTGGTGGAATGGGGCTGTACCTGGCAATATGTGAAGTTATGTTCCCATCAACCTGTGCAAGAAGATGCAGATGCACAATTTTCACTTGGAGGAAACACTGACATGGGTTTATCTCATGAAGAAGGGAAAACTTTATAAACATACTTAGACACCTAAAGCAGCAAGCAGTCCCCAAAAGGAATATACAAACCATAAATTAACCCATATGGTGTATAGCTAAATCCTCAGATGACTCCATATTTTTAAAAACATTTGTCTGATAAGCTTCACTTCCTAAAATACTTAAGAATTGTTGTTTAGAATTAAACTTAAACTAGCATGGCACATAAACAAATACAATTTCACCAACACACAGGAGCAGCTCAATAAAAATGGAAGCACAATAACTTGGGCAAACAGAAATTAGGCTCATTTTTTCATAATTTCTCCAATTAAAGTTATATATTAGCTAAAGTACAGTGTTATTACTAGACCCTTAGGCTTCAGAGAACATCATGCCACATGTTCATTTTGTTGCTAAAAAGCAGCAACCAAATGATTAGCACTTTTTTCCAAGGACAGCTGAGATTAATAGTTTGAAGCCATTCCTTAATTTAACCATGAAACTTGAACATTTAAATTTGAGTCAACTTTAATAACATTTATTTCAGAAAACTGTAAGTATGTTAGTCCTTGAGCACTGATTATAAGATGGATAGAGCTGTTAGCTGTCTTTCCTGTAATTGGAAACAAATTCCAACTATTAAACTTATAGAACTTGATAACAGTACAGCCAACACTTGTCCTTGCAAAGACCCAGAAACTGGGAGTGAAACCATCACCCTACTGAATCAATAGGTAATTTCTAGTGACTTTTTTTATGGTACCAAGCAGGATCTATTTGTTCCACAGAGATTTCCAGTGTGGATGCAGGTGGGACAGGTGAAGGACAAGACAGCTCTGCTTGACTCACAGAAGTTCATCACTGCTCTAAAACACCCCTTTTCTGAACAGGATCAGAAACCCTTACATCCTCCTTTTCTAGGCAAAAAGGAGAAGATATAGGGGATAAGAGAGCAATAAAAGAAATCCTAACTCGTGCACACAGGCAAAAAATCCTCCTTGTCCTTCCAAGCAGAGCAACATCCCCAGCCTGGATACAAGCTTTGTAGATATTGCAATATTGGGCAGGAAATTCTGGTTACCCTCAAATTGTGTTCCTTTCTTTTTTTTTTAATGTATTAAAATCCTTTCCTTCTGTGATGCCTCCTCCTCCCTCCCAACTTTAGGAAGCTCTTTCTCTGGCTGCTAGCACAGACAGCTTCTGTGACTACCTGAAGACTTTTGCAAGCTGGGTCCAGGCCCCGTTAACCACAAGGCTGCTAAGGGACAGCAAAGCTCTCCCTGGAGTTCACCCCACCAAGAAGCAAATCACAAACTCAGCTCTCGCAGCCTGGGAAGGCTGACTTGACTGTCTTTATCTGCAAGGACTCCATTAGCAACTTCCTGTAACATATTTTGAAACAGCACTGAAAATAAGGGATAATTAAAATGTACGAAGTGTCATCTTCATAAAAGCCACAGGACTAAATAAAGTCTTGGAGGGCCCTCTCCTGTACATTCCGTATTTCTCTACGTGCACAATGCACCTTCCTCTGTAAAATCTTTACTAGACAAAGACAGTTTTTTCTGTTCCTTTAAAAATATCTGAAGAAGTATTTACTTAGTTCATAAGGCATAGCTCCCAGTATAATTTTTCCTTCAAGTAGAAGACAGTTACATGCAAAATTAACTCTCAGCTTGGATCTTTGAAGACTCAAAATCCAAAACCATTTAGGCAGTTGCCAGGTTAGCAACAATTTGATTCATTATCAAAGAGCTAATCTAGACTCAAGAAAATAGCTTTTATTTATGCGTCTAGCCTAAGAAAATGGTAGCAATTGTCATTCCTTAGACAACAGGAATGTCAAAGAAGAGCTAAAAACTGCACAAATGTGTACTTCTGCCTTTACAAAAAAATACTTACTCTCTCTTGGCAAAGCACCAAGAAATCAGATAGTAAGGATATCACCTTAATGCTACTATTTATGTCTTACTGATTTTTGGTACTGTGAATTTAGATTAATGAGCAAACAGATCCCATGGAAACAACCCCTTACCTTGTCTTGGTTTGATTTATTAACCAATGCAATTACCAGTGACAAGCCCACAGAGAAATGCACTAAACTGTTCAGAAAGAGGAAACCCTTACCCACATATTTTTCTGCCAGACTGACTCCTTTCTCTTACTGCAACCAAAGGAACAGCAACAAAAATACCTACTTAAACAGTGAAGCCCTACTACAACACTAGTAACAAAGAAATACTGCAAAGACTTATTTTCTACATGGTTCATTTATTGTTACTGAACAAAGAAAAGAATAGCCTTTATGTTTTCTCACAAAGTAAAGTGATTCGCAGGGGAGAAAACAAGTAGTGACCTCTCTTCCATTTAAAGGGAGCCAGATATGAAACACAGGGAAGAAGGATGCTTACAAATTAAAACCAAGCTGACAAATACCTTACTTCTTTAATCGTCTCTAGAAAACACTGTGAAAAGATACAGCAGCATTTGTGATAGATAGTAAATGGTTAATAACCGGCCGGGATTCCCTGCCAACACAAATTCCGATGATTTGCCATTGGATGTTGTGGGCACCAAAGTCCTGTTAGAGCCCACAGAGATCCTCGCTGCAGCTCTCCTGCCTCGGGCATCGCTGAGGTGCGGGACCAGAGCGGGACCAGAGCGGGACCAGCGCGGGACCAGCGCGGGAGGCGTCCCCGTTTCTCAGGATGTTTCCCTCGCACCCCTCGGCTGCACGCACACCAGGTACTGCTGCTCTTCAGAGGAAAGCTCATGGTAGCTCTGTACAAAAACTAAAGGCATAAAAGCCTTTCTGGAAAATAGTTTGCTTTCCAGGCAAACCTTTAGCAACAAACGGCCCCGAAACATTCCCGAGTATTACACAGCTGTTTTATGGCTTCTGGCATTAAAGAGTTTACCAACACTCTGCAAGCGTCCTACTACCCTCTGCTTGCATCCATCTTCATATTCGAACCATAATGCAAATATTATCTGGTTCAAACATCGCTGATCTAAATCAGCAAGTCATACAATACTGTCATATTAAACCAACATCGGGTTGTTTTCCTGCAGCATTCCTGAAGCCTGCCTTCTAGATGTAATTACTATACAATACATATCAGAACCAGAGAGAAAGGCATCACTCCAAGGGCTGAAATTGAGAAGAAATCAATACAAGGAAGATAAATGTTTCGTCAAAAGCTGCAGAGGTATTAACCCTCTCCCCAACTTAGTTTCTTTTTGCTTCGAATCATTTTGCCATGTGAGAAGCTGCTGGAAGGAATGGGATGCGTCTAGCTGCTTAGCTCTGCATTTGGTGTTAGGAAAAAAAAGGGTATTCCAGAAAGAGGAAAAAAAAAGGACACATAAGTGAAAGTTCCTATAGAACCTCCAGAATTTAATTATTTCATTGGACTCTCGCACAAGAGCCAGGGCAGCCTCGGGAGCTCACGGCAAGGACGGGAGGAGCCGCGGCGGCGGGGGCAGAGGGGCTCGCGCTGCCCCCGGGGCCCCTCGCCGCGCACCCCCCGCCCCATCCCCGCCGGGAGGGCGGCAGCTCCGGGCAAAGCAACCCCCGGGACCGCCCGAGACCCCCGGGACCGCCCGAGACCCCCGGCCCCTCCCGGGACCCGGCCGTGCCCGGGGCGGCCGCGGGAGCGCGCCGGGCGGGGCCCGCGCTGCGCGCCGCCGGAGGGGCGCGCGCCCCGCGGGGGCGCCGGCGGCGCCACAGCGCCCCTGGCGGGCGGCCCGGGCGCTGCGGCGGGAGGCGGCGCAGCCCGAGCCCCGCGAGTTCCCCCGGGCCGGGGCCGCGGCGGGGCCGCGCGTCCCGCGGCGGGGAGCGCCCACCCGGCCCCGTCACACGCCAGCCCCGCGGGTCGAGCCGGGGCGAGAAGCGATACGCAGGCACCGGCCGTGGGGTTCAAAGCGGGGGGAGAACTGTATGGTGGTCGCCGAGTGCCCCCCGCCCGCGGAAGCGCTCTCCCGCGGGGGCGCGGCGGTGGCCGCGCAGCTCTAGCCCCGGTGCGGTGCGGACGCGCAGCCTCCCGGGACTCCCCCCCGCCCTGCCAAGGTCAGCACGCGGCACGGCGAGACCCCCACCGCGGACACGAGTGGGGTGGGGAGGGCACAGACCCGCGCACCGCGAAGTTTCTGGCGGGGGAACCGGGGGGCTGCGACGCGGAGTCGGAGCGCGGAGTCACGCTGCCTTTCGGGGCGGCGAGCGGCGGTCCCGCAGCACAAAGGGAGCTCCAGGCAGCCCCACGAAAGAACAGCAGCGCGCAAGGACCCCCCCCACACCCGCGCCCGCCCCACGCCGCCGGGCGCTGCAATGCACCGGAGACCGGGGACAGCGCGCCGGGAGCGCGGAACCGAGCCCGTGCTCCACGCACGGCCCCACTCGCGGGCAGCGCAGCCCGCAGCCGGGAGAGTGCTGTGGAGCGGGAGGACACCCAACGCTGGGGCCGCCCCGGCAAACGGGCCCCCGCGGTCCCTGGCGCATCCTCCGCGCCCGCGGGATGCCCCGCCGGCTCCCTGCGGGGGTCGCGGGCACGTGTGGACGAGGCACCGGGAGCCCCCCTAGCCGCCGCGCTCACTCACCGGGGAAGCACACCACATCATGGAGCACGGAGCTGGTGATTTTCAAGAAAAAGATCCACCAACACGGTTGCAGTAGCCTCCGCATGTCCAAAGCCGCACATCGAAAGGGGAAAGGGGCTAAAATAATTAACACACAGGGGGAAAAAAAAAAAAAGGGGGGGGGGAGGGAGGGGGCAAAAAAAATAAAAAAAACTTGTTGAAAATAAGTTTCTCCCCGCACCCCTGTTCCTGCGGGAGAAAGCGGGGGGCTCCTGCTCGCCTTCTCTACGAGGAAAAAAAAAAAAAAATCCCCCAAGCGCGGGGCAGGGGGAGGACAGCGAGGAGCGCCGGCGGGGCGCGGGGACCCCCCCGCGCGGCTCGGCGGGCGCGGGGCGGCGCGGCTCAGGCGGGCAGCAGCGGCGGGGCGCGCATGCCGCGGACGGGGCGCTCACAGCCGCCTCCGCGCACGGGCGGGCGGGCGGCGGTCAGCCGGGGCCCCGGCGCGCTCCATCCTGCCGTACAGGAAGTGGCGGGCGAGCCCGGATCCTGGCGGAGACTTTAAAGCGGGGCGAGGGAGAGAGAGGGAGAGAGAGCGCGGCGCGGCGGCGAGGCGAGGCGAGGAGAGGCGGCGGCGCGCCGGGCGCCCCGGCGGCGCGCCCCCGCCGCCCTTAAAGCGGCCGCGGCGGCGGGGCGGGGGCGCGCTCGGGGACGCGCTCCCGTGCGCGCTCCCGCTCCCGCCCCGCCGGCTGTGTGCGTGTAGTCGCGGAGGACGGCGTGCCGCCGAGCCGCGGAAATTCGCCGCTTGCAATTTCGGGTTCCGCGCTTTCGCCCCGGCGCTGTCTGCTGGAAGTTTCTCGTCTCGCTGTGCCGCCCGCCGGTGCGTGCTGAGAGGGGGCCCTGTCCTTCGTGGTGCCCCCCCCGGCTTGTGTGCATCACTCCGGGTGCTGCCAGAGGGGTCCGACCGCCCCTCCCCGCCCCAAAACCACGCAGTTTCCCATCCCCTTCGAATCTCACAGCTCAGGGCTGTGCCGGGTATTTCCAGAAATCCTCATGGAAATCATACAGATTTTGCTCTCCTCCAGTGATATGTATCTTTTTGGGTACTGCAAGCGACACCTCCACCCCCACTACCCCCAGAATCACGTAGATTTTTCCTCCCCCAGTAATACTCATCATTCTGGGTGTCGCTGGAAGCATCCCACAAAATTGCTAATTTTTTTCCCCAATATTGTGCATTATACTACGTATTTCCAGAGAGCTACCTCAAAATGAGAGAATTATTTGATGTTTCTGTAAAGTCAGATGAAGGCTATCCCAAGCCACTCTGCATCTACAACCGCTCCATGCCTCGTCGGCAGTTTCTGAATGGGTGATAATTGTGCACAGGAAACAGAAGCAGAAAATGGTGTGAATCCAGGATGAAGGGATGGTTGTTTGTACTTGGTATTTCCTGGCTCTGCTGTGGTCTGCTGATGCTTAAATTTCTGGCTCTGTCATTTGCTGTGCTCCTCTTCACTCACCTGCAAACCTTCCACATTTCTGGTGTTTCCAGAGGAGAGGAGATGGTCGGCAGGAGGAGGAACAGAGTAGGAAAATACAGAAGTCATTTGTGGAATGGCAGTGATTTTCTCTCCCTCTTCCTCAGCTTAGGGGTCACTAAAGCAGCGCCATCAGGTAATTAGCACTGTCTGCAAGGGGTTTTGTGTCCATCCAGGTTTACCCCACTCAGCACAAGATGCTAAGGCAGTGGATTATGCTGCATCCAAAGGGCCCCTCATCAGGAGACATTTGGAGCCTTTCCTTTGACTTTCTCCCACATACCAGGTCGTGGCTGCCAAAAATCACATTTGAAGTTAAAGGTGCTGTCCTTATTGGCCAAAACTGCTCGTCCCAGTAGGGATTTTTCAAGTGTAAGGATTTTAGGACCTGATTAGATATTCTCTGCCCTTGAGGACACTACCCATTGGGGTGTGCAAAAATTAGAGAAGGTACTTGTGTATGGATTTGTCTAAAGCAGAACAAAAATTTATAGGCCTTGGAGAAAGGACTCATCCAGCTTTTCCATTAAATCATTTCCCGGAACATGGTTTCAACTCTTATAAAAACAAAGATGCAAGCTAAATTTTCCTGTTTCTTTTTCTATGAAAATCAAAATCAAATCCCTTCCTGCCTTGACCTTTTGGATTCTGCCGTGACATCTGGGCTCAGTTACTTATTGGGCTGTTCAGAAAAAACCTGCAAAATATTCCCCTTTCAGCAACTGATTGCAATTTTGCTGTTCTATTTCAGCAGATAGAGAGGCAGGTTCTACACCAATACTGAGACCTGCCTCTTCAAATGATGTCTCCCTGGCATCATAAGAGGCAATCTTAAGGTGTTTCAATCTAAAAGTGGGCTTCAACAGGTCTCATTACATGAGAAAAGTTATCACACACTATTGCAATATCACAAAAGAAGAGTAAAAGCAGTGGATTTCTTTTCAAAGAGCAGTTTGAATTAGTATTTTTCTCACTAATTCAAAATCCTCTGGAAAAGCTGTTAATTGCACCATTTTATATTTAAACATATTTTTAAATTTGTTTAGGGTTTTCTCTCTTGGACTATGACAAACCTGAAACTGGACCCATATCTTGGAATTGGAGGAATTTTGCATTTTCCATTCTTGGTGCAAACATGAAAGTAAGATATAAAATGCATAATCAGAGTAGTGTCTCCTGAGGAGCACAGATGACTTCAGATCTCTCTAAGCTGCTAAGGAAGATTTTAGAATGGCAGAGCTCCCATCAAAAACCAAAGGTGTTCAGGCTGGATATTCACAGTAGTCGCCTCAGGTCTGAACTTCTTAAAACAAATCTGTAAAAGCCCAATGTCAGCAGGACCAGCTTGGTTCAGCCTGCTGTGGTACAACATGTACAATGACCCACTTTTCCTGGAGTGGGAAATCAATCATTGCATCGTCACACATCACTTTAGGAGCTGTGGTGGCAGAAGTAGCTTTGTTTCGCATTAGCAATTTGGGTGGGCAGAGAAACGGAAAGATGGATGATGGAGATGCAGAGAACAAAATTAAACACGGTTAAATGAGAATCCATTTCCTGCATGCAGTATCTCTGTGCCCGAGGCACGCTGTCTATCAACAATACACAGGTACAAATTGGCCTGCAGACGGATCTTTAACTACCCAAACACAGCAAACTGCATTAGCAGGATGCTGCTCTGCTGGGCTGGGCCGCCTGGCTGCGGAGCAGCCACACCAGAATATAAAAATCTATCACCAGATAGCACAGCTGATTCTTCCCAGTGACTGAAGTACTGTGGCTGGCGTGATTCAAATAGCTGCTACTGTATTGAAGGGATTGAAAGGGGACACATACCCCAGTGCAGCAAAACCAGGCCAGTGGGTGCTCTGCAAATCTTGCAATACTTATGGTTAGCAAAGCAGGTGATGTCAAGGTGAGAGGAATGGGACAAGCAGCCCTGGTTTGCTTGGAACAGTGAATAAAAGATAACTTTTATCCTTCTTTCCCCCTCCTGTTTGAACAAGTAATATTTTTATGCTACCTTCATCAACATACAGGCATGACTCCTGGGAAAGAAATGAAAGTCTGTTAATTTATTTGATCAGACATGAGAAATAATAGAAAACTGAAACAAAGTGTTGTATTTGTCATATGTTTGAATTAGTGAAAAGCTGAAGAAAGCAGAAAAATATTGCAAGGAGTTCAAAGATGAGAGGTTTTATTGAATTAGAAAATTATTAATAGCATTAATCATTTCCAAAACAGGCTTCTTAACATCTATAATGACTATGTAAAGGATTGGAGAAATAAAAATCAAAGAAAAAATTCAGGTAGACAAAGTTACACTTCTTTTTGTGACTAGAAAGAAAAGGATGAATTTTCCTTGATTTACAGCCAGCCTCACTGGAATGGTTAATCTGTGGGGAAAAGACCAGGTGAGGATCTAGCCCTGAAAGGATAATTCAACATGAAGTATGAAGAAGCAGCTACAGTTCAGATTATAAGTAATGTGATGTATAAACTTTCAGATTAATTCAGCAGCCCTAGTTCCTGTTCAGCTTTGCATGGAAAGGAAAAGAAGGATGCTGAGTTTCATAAATTATACTATTGCAGAATTAGTTTCTCATAGCCTCAGGACAGATGCATTCTTCTCAGAGTATGCTGTGAGGCTTTGAAGGTCTTAACAAGGCATCTGAGAACCTGCTGAGAGCCAGAGGTGGAGGGCAAGCAAAGTGCTGTGATAAAAGAGAGGGCTTTACTTCAATATAATCATAGCAATGAGCTGTGCTGTTTGATTGATGAAGATATAAAAATAAATGAACTCAGAGACGCAGGTAAAGCGAAAGGTATGAGAAATGTTAACGGGTGATGCAAACTCTGAGACATGGGCTGTGGGTCAGAGATTGCTGCAAGTGTTACAGGCTGCACACCTACAGCTCAACTAGCATGACAGGAATGAGCACTGACTTGAGAGATACTCCAAGATGTCCTGGCTGGGAAGTGTCCCACAGGGTTTGCACAAGGCTTTTTTGGAAGACCAGTACATTTATTTTCTTGTCTTCTAAAAAAGGAGCCACCACCTTAGGGTAGCCGTAGGCTGAATCACTCAGAACAGACACCGGTCACATGCTGAGATGCCTACTTGAAAACTTCGAATTAACCTTGAAGTCAAACAGTTCTTTTGTCTCCCGAAAAGGCCTCAGAATGCTGTGTTTGTAAAAGTGTGTGTGGAGGGTTGGACTGATCAGCAGCGAGTTTCTCTTTCAAAAGCAGCTGTAGTTCAGAGTCCTGTGCTATGACCTTGCTAGGGCTGTGAGTGCGTGTTTAATTCACAAATCCTCTCCTGTTAAGAGAAGAATATAAAAATCTATCATCAGTGTGGCAGCGAGCAGAGCAAGTATGTTCATGACTAGAGCTGAGGGATGAGAAGAAACACCCAGTTTTTTGTCCTGCTTGTCTGTGACTCAGTGGGAATTACTGCCTTGGCAGAATTAATGAAAATAATGAGACAACAGACTTAGGGTCTTCCATTGTTTGTGCAAATACTGTTTGTAGGTTTCAATACTATTTGCGTTCAATGAAAGTCTTGGGATCCTCAGTTGCAGAAAAGCAGAAATGCTTTGAGTGAGAAGGCTCTATCCATGCTCAATGTTTTTCCACTATCGTGCAGCTTCCAGGGAGATAACTGCAGCTGTTAGGTTTTTCTGCACAGTGAAGTTGACTCAAGGACAGGCAGGGTTTGCAGGCAGTGTGAACTCAGGCTGAATATAAGCTGCTG